CTAGCTAACCTTTATTTCATTCAGAAAGCTGGTTCACGGTGCCATAACAGCGACACAGATCCTGTCTTCCCTGGGAATTCCGGTTTTCTGGTCAAATAAATCGAAAATGACCGACAACATACGTCGAAATGCTTTGAAAACAGGAGGTGCACTAGTAAGAAACACATTATCAAACTGCATTAGTCACAACGCATGATGAGTCCAAATATCTTCACTAGTAGCATCCATCCATCTATACAGGCAGTTATTACATTCAAGCCGTCAGGGCATCAGCTTCCGCAGGTTTCATGGTCCGGCTTCAACAGATCAGGAGGGCTACTGAGCTGATCCCAAGACTTAACCATAACCCATATACATACAGATATCTGGCTCCTTATCGATTTCAATGTGGCTTCGCAAAAACAACCCGCCCTGCGAAGCCCCAGCTTAAAGAAACCTGAACACATTCAAAATCATCACAACTGCGATAGCTGCACTTGAACACTGAGTCTGACAGGCTGCGGTATCCCATAACGCCGAGAACTTTGTCGCAGTAACATTCTGTCGAAAACCTTATCCGTTCCATGAAATATGTCTGCAGCCCCCTTCTACAATCTCCCTTGTTTCCTAAACAAATAGCAGTTCCACCGGCGGATTTCCCGATATGACCGATCGGTTGGTATTACTTTCACAGTATTATTTTCAACATCCAGCAACTAATTTCATAAACATAACTTCAGCCTATAATTTTACAACAAAAGACAAACAGGCCAGAAGCCTTTGATACAATGAACTAGCGCCAGCGGTCTGAGATGACTAGCCTCGTTTCAACAATGTTCAAAAATATAACTTTGCTTGGCACGTGAATGAGTAATTTTTACAATTACATTGTAAAGTTCATAAGTGCAAAATTTCTGGATCGTCAAAATAATCCGTTTTCTAGCCGTTCATTCATAACCGTAGGGACGGTGGTAGATCGTAAGCTACTACAAAGCCGAATGGCTTGTCGTCTGTTCGTGGCCTTGCTCGACCGATGGACGGCAGGCATTCTCTTCAGAATCGAAAGGGTCCCGTAAAATCCCCATATCTTCATTTGGGATGAACGGAATGACGTAGACTGGCAGCAACATCATCAAACGACCGACTGTTTGCCAAGAATCAACAGAGTCTGTTCGAACCGCTCCGGCAGTCTCTGCTTCAGCGAGTTACTGTCATGGAGTAAAGTAATCATGATCTGAAACAGAAAACAGTTAGAATGAGAAAAATGATATCGTTAAAGAAATAAAAAGCAAAGTACAAAGATTAGCACAAAGCCAGATTTATGACGGTGACGAGGAAGTAAACAATTTTAACTTCCATTCTGACATGCAGAACCGTCCTCAATGTTGCTAACCACAACTGGGTGTAACTTTAAGTCGAATTAAACAAAAAAAATTAATTGACCTCCCAGAAATTTCATTTCAAATTATGATCCCGGATTCACCGAGGATAAGTGACCTCCCTTTAACTTCTAGTCACCTGGAGGGGGGGGGAGATTTAAGCAAGGTCCGGCTCAATAGTAATGGGCTCTGTACTGCAATGGATGCAAGACCACATAGCTGAGCTGGTGTGCGTTCGAACACCTACAAAATCGGCACTACCTGCAGGCAAATGCAGACGCAACACAGACTCCGAAATTCCGGGGTAGCTATTCAGTTCCGCACGCATTCTTCTTGCAGAGAGTAACTTTCCTGAGTAAATTCTGGTGTGGAAGCCATTTATCCAGAAATTCAGAGGCGAAAAGGTGTTACATTAGGGTTGGACAATGGATGCCAAATAAACCAGTGAAGTCATGTCTAAACACATATCCCCACTTCAAATCTAACTCTTTATTTTTGATGGATATAAGTATGGGCTTTAGAAACACCATACGTGTCATGAAAGTGCTGCCATAGCCACATAGGTGTGGAGTGGCCTATTCAAATAACACCATATGCGTCCAGGAGCATGGGTTTTCGCAATAACGACGGGGAAATGGGTGGATTTATGCTTATACTATTTATTACTTAAATATTTAAATACTGGATTCATGAAAGGATGCACAACTGTCAAATATGAAGAAAGATCTCCTTGTTCAATAACCTATGACATTTAATCTTAGACGAATAATGTGTCATCTGACATACTCCAACATACGAACATAGTTTAAAGTATACGTAGTATCAAATGAGAACTATCAGTTCCTGAAA